GTGTAGATGCTTCAAATCTTCTGTTTTCACTGATTTGAGTGGTTGTGTGTGTTGCGATTCATCTTGGGATACTTCGGTGATCTTTCCCCTAGTGTTGATGCTTCAAATCTTGTGTTTTCACTGATTTGAGTGGTTGGGTGTGTTGCGATTCATCTTGGGATACTTCGGTGATCTTTCCCATAGTGTAGACGCTTCAAATCTTGTCATTTTGCTGTTTTGGGTGCGTATGTGTGTTGCGCTTCATCCTAGGATACCTCGGTGATCATTCCCCTAGTGTAGATATCATGAATCTTGTCAAAATTGCTGAATTTGATGCTTGCACATGTTGCGACTCATCTTGGGATACTTCGGTGATCTTTCCCCTAGTGAAGATGCTTCAGATCTTGTGTTTTCACTGATTTGAGTGGTTGGGTGTGTTGCGATTCATCTTGGGATACTTCGGTGATCTTTCCCCTAGTGTAGATGCTTCAAATCTTGTGATTTCACTCATTTGAGTGGTTGGGTGTGTTGCGATTCATCTTGGGGTACTTCAGTGATTTTTCCCCTAGTGTAGATGCTTCAAATCTTGTCATTTTGCTGATCTGGGCGCCTATATGTGTTGCGCTTCATCCTAGGATACTTCGGTGATCATTCCCCTAGTGTGGATGTCATCAATCTTGTCAATCTGGTGATTTTGATGCTTGTACATGTTGCGCTTCATCTTGAGATACTTCGGTGATCGTTCCCCTAGTGTAGATGTCATCAATCTTGTCAAATTGCTTATTTTGATGCTTGTACATGTTGCAATTCATCTTGGGATACTTCGGTGATCTTTCCCCTAGTGTAGATGCATCAAATCTTGTGTTTTCACTGATTTAAGTGGTATGGTGTGTTGCGATTCATCTTGGGATACTTCGGTGATCTTACCCCTAGTGTAGATGCGTCAAATCTTGTGTTTTTACTGATTTGAGTGGTTGGGTGTGTTGCGATTCATCTTGGGATACTTCGGTGATCTATCCCCTAGTGTAGATGCTTCAAATATTGTCAGTTTGCTGATTTGGGTGCCTATGCATGTTGTGCTTCATCTTGAGATACTTCGGTCATCATTTCCCTAGTGTAGATGTCATCAATCTTGTCAATCTGCTGATTTTTATGCTTGTGCATGTTGCGATTCATCTTGAGATACTTCGGTGATCACTCCCCTAGTGTAGATGTTATCAATCTTGTCAAATTGCTGATTTTGATGCTTGCACATGTTGCGATTCATCCTGGGATACTTCGGTGATCTTCCCCTAGTGTAGATGCTTCAAATCTTTTGTTTTCATTGATTTAAGTGGTTGGGTGTGTTGCGATTCATCTGGGGATACTTCGTTGATCTTTCCCCTAGTGTAGATGCTTTAAATCTTGTGTTTTCACTGATTTGAGTGGTTGGGTGTGTTGCAATTCATCTTGGGGTACTTCGGTGATCTTTCCCCTAGTGTAGATGCTTCAAATCTTATCATTTTGCTGATTTGGGTGCCTATGTGTGTTGCGCTTCATCCTAGGATACTTCGGTGATCATTCCCCTAGTGTAGATGTCATCAATCTTGTCAAAATTGCTGAATTTGATGCTTGTAAATGTTGCAACTCATCTTTGGATACTTCGGTGATCTTTCCCCTACTGTAGATGCGTCAAATCTTGTGTTTTCACTGATTTGAGTGGTTGGGTGTGTTGCGATTCATCTTGGGATACTTCGGTGATCTTTCCCCTAATGTAGATGCTTTAAATCTTTTGTTTGCACTGATTTGAATGGTTGGGTGTGTTGCAATTCATCTTGGGATACTTCGGTGATGTTTCCCCTAGTGTAGATGCTTCGAATCTTGTCAGTTTGCTGATTTGGGTGCCTATGCGTGTTGCGCTTCATCTTCAGATACTTCGGTGATCATTCCCTTAGTGTAGATGTCATCAATCTTGTGAATCTGCTGGTTTTGATGCTTGTGCATGTTGCGATTCATCTTGGGATACTTCGATGATCATTCCCCTAGTGTAGATATTAACAGACTTGTCAATCTACTGATTTGGGTGCTTGGGTGTGAAGCGCTTTATCTTTTGATAAATTGTTGACCAACTTATCTTTTTGATGACCTTGATGCATGTGTGTATGGCGCTTCCTTCCGGGGTACTACGGTAGGCTTTTCCCTAGCGAGGATGCTTCCTAGCTTGTCAATCGGCGGTGGTCATGTGTATGTGTGTGTGTTGCAGTCCCCGGTAAACTCTTCAGTCCACCCTTACCGCTTGCTGTAACCAATGACAGCCGGTATATGTATGTATGTGTGTTGTAGTCCCCGGTAACCTATTCAGTCCACCCTTACCTTTGCTGTAACCTGTGACACCCGGTATGTGTAGGTGTGTGTGTGTTGCAGTCCCGGTAACCTGTTCAGTCCACCCTTACCCTTGCTGTAACCTGTGACACCCGGTATGTGTATGGGTGTGTGTTGCAGTCCCCGRTAACTTGTYCAGCCCACCCTTACCCTTGCTGTAACTTGTGACACCCGGTATGTGTATGTGTGTGTATGTTGCAATCCCCTGTAACCTGTTCAGCCCACCTTTACCCTTGCTGTAACTTGTGACACCCGGTATGTGTATGTGTGTGGGTTGCAGTCCCCGGTAACCTGTTCAGTCCACCCTTACCCTTGTTGTAACCTGTGACACCCGGTATGTGTATGTGTGTGTGGCAGTCCCCGGTAACCTGTTCAACCCACCCTTACCCTTGCTGTAACCTATGACACCCGGTATGTGTATGTGTATGTGTGTTGCAGTCCCCGGTAACCTGTTCAGCCCACCATAGCCCTTGTTGTAACCTGTGACACCCGGTATGTGTACGTGTGTGTGTTGCAGTCCCCGGTAACCTGTTCAGCCCACCCTTACCCTTGCTGTAAACTGTGACACCCGGTATGTGTATGTATGTGTGTGTTGCAGTCCTCGGTAACCTGTTCAGCCCACCCTTGCTCTTGTTGTAACATGTGACACCCGGTATGTGTATGTGTGTGTGTTGTAGTCCCCGGTAAACAATTCAGTCCACCCTTACCCCTTGTTGTGACCAATGACAACCGGTATGTGTATGTGTGTGTATTGCAGTCCCCGGTAACATGTTCAGTCCATCCTCACCCCTTGTTGTAACCAGTGACACCCGGTATGTGTATGTGTTGCAGTTTCCGGTAACCTGTTCAGTCCATCCTCACCCCTTGCTGCAACCGGTGACCTGCGGTATGTGTAAGTGTGTGTGTTGCAATCCCGGTAGCCTCGTTCAGTCCTTCCTCTTTTTCGTGACCGGTGCCTTCCGATAATAGTATGAGGTGGTCGGGCACCCGGGTAGGAAAGGGGGCACAAGGTTAAGAGTTAGGTTGCGTCCGACAAGCTTTCGCTGTCACCACCGCTCCTCCAATCTCGACCACCCGAACGCACCTTCCACCTTCGTCACCCACACCCGTCCACCATAGCCAACCACCTCCAACCCTTCTTCCTCCTCCATCACCCACAACCGTCCGCCATAGCCAACCACCTCCAACCCTCCTTCCGCCTTCATCACCCACACTCGTCCACCATAGCCAACCACCTCCAACCCTTCTTCCTCCTCCATCACCCACGCCCGTCCACAATAGTCGACCACCTCCAACCCTTCTTCCTCCTCCATCACCCACACCCGTCCACCATAGCCAACCACCTCCAACCCTTCTTCCTCCTCCATCACCCACACCCG